CCCTCTGCCGAGGCAGCTCAAAGATCATATATACACTGCTTTTGAGCTGCCCACTCCCCCTGGACCTTCAAGAGTTTCTGGACTACCTGCAGCAGACATGAGGGAGTCTATGGTGCGCTGTGTTGTCTGTCCCACGAAAACAGACAAAAAACACGCTTCAGGTGTGTGTTCTGTCAACGAGCTCTGTGTCCCAAACATTGTGTAGCCACTGTATATGAGGCTGAGGTAAGTAGAAATGCACCTGAAGACTTTATTTACTTGTACATAACAAATAAATAGCCAGTTGCTAGAGTAATTTTAGTTAAAAACATATTAATGTAAAAAAGTGATTTTTGTGGTATATAAAATAAGGCCTTTTTCCACGTCTCGTCGCTACAGAAGCGGCAGCAACTCAGGACCAGTACCCTCCCCCTTCAGCAGTGGCTCACAGGACCTGGAAAGCCGTATGAAAAGTTGGGAAGTCATCGGAAGATAATTTTTACTATTTTTAATTACAATTTTCAGTACCTGAATTTCTTACCTAAATAATATGTTTTTCAGTTCCTATTAATGTTAACTCAAAGTAAAAAGTTTGAAATGCCTGCATGTAAAATATTTCAAATAAAAATTTATATTTTTTGATATTTTCAAAATCGGGTATGATATACCCATGGTTAGTAGTGGTATAACTTTAATTGATGGTTAGTGTTCTAGGGTTAAGTGTGGTGGTCAAGTAAAACATTAAGTCTTAGACTGACAAAGAATTTAAGGGACTTACTTCGGAAAGGAAACTCTTAAACAGTCATGCGCAAGTAAAATTATTGTATGTAACTGTCTCTGTAAGAACAGCTAATTATGAATAAAAAGTTACATATAATTGAAAAAATATATAGCAGTTTAATTCAAGCTTCAATCTTTCTTCGAAACTGGACGGAACATGTTGGTGATGTTTTAAAGACACCCGAACATGAATTGATTATTACTTCCATCCAACACTAGATCGATGTCGGAATGTGATCAGTGTTTCCAAGTGTTCTGTATTAAGTATGAATCGAGGAAGCATTTAGCTACCATCTGAAAAAGATATGAGCGAACCAAATGAAAATGGACACAACAACTTTGGGATGCCTGGAAATGATGACATACTACATAAAGGTATGAAGGATTGAGTTTAGGAAACGTATCTGAAAAGGGTCAAACAAGTGCTCCAATCAAAACCCCGGAACATGTGTAATGGCTGTACTTAGATACACATTTGAAATTTTAAAATGGACACGAATCGAAATTGCCGAATTTGATAGGAAGGTACATAAAATTGTTACGAAAAGCAAAAGTTATCAAAAGAATTAGTCTCGGTGTTATGAAAGGGAGAGTGGTAGTGTCCCGCCTGATGGTCTGGGCGAAGGGCGATGATAGCCCTATGAAGCGACGCGCGCTAGTCGACAGCTGATGCTCACCTATCTTCTGGTGATAAAATACAATTGATAAAGCTCGAAAACTAAATGAAATCGACTGAACTTCACACAAAGTCTAACATCAGCTGGAGGGATCTGATACAGGGCGTTGGCTGATGATTTTAATTGACTGTGTCAAAGGTAAATGAAGCTATCTGCCACGTTACTCGGTGAACGGTGTAGAAATGCTGCTATGTTTTGCCGGACAAATGGTTACCGATATCTGGGAAAATGAAGAAAAAGAAAAATTCAATTCTGTTAGACATTCAGTTGCATGGATAATTTGGATGAGCAACGGAAAGAGTGAAGAAAAACAAAGCCTCCCACAAATTGTTGAAACCCGCTGATCTATAAAAGAGGGAATAAGTATCATATACGAAAGTAATAGCCAGTAATTTATATCACGCTACAGATAACCCAACTATTAGAAGAGAAACAAGAGAATTTCACATATGTAATAACTGTCTTTAAAATGGGAACTGTTTGGTTTGGTTTGATTTTTTTTACGGCATATCAACATCAATGGGTTATGTAATGCCAAAAAATTTTTTATTCATGGTAATTTCTTCCTTCAAAAATCTATTTCTGGGAATATATTTTTCATTGAAGAACTCAATAGCTGGTCATATTTTTTCCAAAGAATGTATAGCTGTTTGAAATGCTGGTATTTTTTTTAAAGTATTGCTGATAATTTTTCCTTCAAAACTTATTGCTGGTAATATTTTTTTTATTACAAAGTATCTCTGGTATTAAAACCTATTTTTACATAAGTTTGGGTGTTAACTATTTGCCTATAGCTGGGACCCTAACAGGTGCTACCACTCCGGGCCAGGGTGAACTTTGGAACACCAGCAATTAAGAGGTGCCCCACGCTCCTCAAAACCTCCTGATCAGAGGCCTTGCTGATGGACGTAGTTTATCGTCTTACCCAGGACGCTGATGTAGTTTATCTTCATACCCAGGACGGTAAAATGGGAACAGATATAGAGAGTAAAAATACCAAGTGACGGTGTTTTTTTTTGTGTTTTTTTTTAATATGCAATAGTTTTTCATTTAAAAAATATATGGCTACTACGTGTTGGTGGGTTGATTTTGTTTAGCATCATATCAATATCTATGGGTTATTTAATGTCGAAACCTACACATCTTAAACACAGTTTTACGGCTACAACTAAATATAAAATATATATTTTCTCAGTTTGCTTTAAATATGTATTGTTGGTAATTTTACTATAAATAGGTATTGGGGGGGTTGTTCAGCGTCATATTAACCTCTCTGGGTTATTTAATGCCGAAATCTAAATATTTATACATGATTTTATGCTTTCAGAGTAAATGTATTTTTTCCAGATATATAGCCTATAGATCATAAATTGTTGTTAATTTTACTATAAAAATGAATTTTTATTATTTCTGCCTTGATTGACATTTTTCGATAAAAATCTATTGTTTCTCATTTTATTATAAAAATTTATTTTTGTTCGGGGTTTGACTATTTGCCCATAGCTGGGACCCTAACAGGTGCTACAACCTCGGACCAGGATGAACCTGGAAACAACAGCAGTTAAGGG